TACCATGCTATTTTTCTGGATCTGCAACATGGAGAAGAAACGGACATCACGAGGAGCTTCTTCATGAGCCACATTCCCACTGAGCAGCGGCTGGGCTGCTCACCTGAGCTCTCAGAGCCTCAGCGAGGCAGGTCCCTGCTCTCTTGCTGTGGCTATGGAAAATGACGCCAGATGCTAGGAATCTGTGCCTGTGATCTGCTTGTACTGCTGCTTTCACTGTGAAGTAGAAGACACTTTGTCATGGAGAACAATTCCGTGAGTCGAGCGGCTCATCGGCTGGCATGAAGGCGCGATCCTGCGAGAGGTCCGGGCCGGGAAACCCATCTGCGCCTGCCCACTGCTCCTCAGGGACCCAGTGCGGGCACCACCTGCTGGCAGGAGCCTCTGTGACGGTGCTGCTCACGATGGGCATACTTCCAAGGGGTCACCCCGGGAAGGAGAGTGGAGATGCAGGACCAGGCCCTGGGAGCAAGTCAGCCCTCGCCCTGTGGATGCCCACGTTCGCGCCTCCTTCCGCCCGGTACAGAGTCCCCCGGGCACCCTGTTCCCACACACGCCTCCTTCCATACTGAGCAGCCCCCTGACCGACCCTTCGTGGCTCTTGACTTCCCCTTTCCAGGAACAGCTCTGCGGAGTAAAGAACGACGTCTTTTTCTCCAAATACAGAGGGTTTCCGCCTCTGCGTGCTTTGGAGAAGCCCTGTGGGAGGAGCGGAGGCGGCGAGGTCTGCGAGCTGCCCGGCCCGGCCGGGGAGGAGGAGTGGGCTTCTCCTAAGCAGCTCCTCGGAGCTGGAGCTGCGCTTCTGTCCCTGAGACGCCCTCGCCGCCTCCACAGAGAGTGAGGGTCCGCGGCCACAGCCTGCGCCAGAGGCCCGGAGACCGCCCCCCGTGCCTCCTGCGGCCTGGCCTCCGTGCCCCGCGCCGGGCCAGTGACAAACAGACGGGGCGTCGGCGGCGTGGTCGCGCGAGTTTTTCTGGTCCACCCCCACTGCGCCAGCGGCCCGTCTGTCGCAAACCAGGTTTCTGATCTTTGCCTCTGGGCCCAGAACTCAGGGCAACTGTGGGCGGGGCTGGAAATCTCCATTTCCGAGGGTTTTCTGTACTCAGGTATTTGGGAGCCACTGGCCTATGCATACAATTAACAGAGAAGGGTTCAAGTTTTATTTTTCTTCTGCCTTCTGCTGTACTAATTAATCACATGCAGCTTGAACTGCTCTCTTTTGCACAGAGCAAAGGGTAAAACATTTCTTTTTTTGTTTTTTTTTTGGGTACCAGGGATCTAATAACTCAGGACCTTGAGCTTGTGAGGCAGGCGCCAGAACCACTGAGCTAAATCCCTGGCCCAAAACATTTCTGAATTAGTGAGTTTTCCAAGATACCTTAACCATGTTCCTTCTTGCATGCCTGCTTTTGAGTTTTGGTCATGTTTTTCCCTCTCTCTGGAGAAAGCTCTCAGTTTAAGAACCCAGTCCCAATACCTTTTCTGCTCTTCACCCCCTCAGCTGCTGTTGAGAAGCTTGCTTAGGTCCGCACTGTGGTGGCTCATCTGCTATTCTCTGGCCACAGAGTAGGTGGGAATTAATCCAGCTGCCCATTCCAGTGTGGGTGACTTCTCGGGGCAGCAGGGACCCAACAGAATCCCGGATGGATTCAGAATCGGAAGGGGTGGTACAATGAAAATGGCCCTGTTCTGAGAAGCAGCCGGAGCCTCCCCGTGAATCTGGGAAGGTTCGCTCCTGACACTGATGAATAAACGTGTCCCAGTCGCATGGTGGGTTCTTGGCCAGCCCAGTTTCCCCTTTCTGTGGAGCCTGCCTTCTGGAAGCCCCATGGAGAGGCTTCCTCCAAAGACCAAGAGCGAGAGGGAAGTCACTGTGGAACCTTGGGCCAGCTTAGCCTCAGCAGGAAAGCACAGCAGGAAGCCAGGAAAGGCCTCGGGAGACAGGTGAATGGCCCAGCCCTGCTGTAGATTCTTGATCCATGAAACCAAGAAAGATCAAGAAAGAGTTGTTTTAAGCCACTGAAGTTACGGAGAAGCACATTGTGTGGGAACAAACGGGAAATGTGGAGGGAAGAGAGGGCGACTCTGTTGCTGTGCTGGCTGACTCTCATCTATGCTCAGGTTTCTTGCTTTTACCTCTGCAGACAATGAGCCCCACACCAGCAGTGACATCACTTAGTGATCACTGAGTGGACTGAAGGGTTGGCATGAGGCTTCCTGGAAGAGTGGAAGTTACTTTTGTCCCCGTTCCCTGTGGAAGGTTGGTCACAGGACTCCACCCACAGAAACCCCTCTACTAAGTGGTGAAGTGATTGTACAAACTGCACACGTCCCCTGGATGCTTTAAATAATCTCTAGGGGACTTGCAATACCTAGCACAATGCAAATGCTATGTAGACAGCTGTAACACTACCTTGTGTAGGGAGTAACAAGTAAAAAGGAAAATGCAATTTCAGTCAGATGAGTGTTTTCCAAATTTTTTTTTTTTTTTTGGTACGGGGGATTGAACTTGGGTCCTTGTGCTTGCGCAGCAGGCGACAAAACCACTGAGCTAAATCCCCGGCTCCAAATATTTTTGATCTGTACTTTTCTGAATTTGTGGATTTGAAACCTACAGATATGAAGGTATCTGTGTGCAACTCTAGTGGAAAATGTGCTCTGCTTGGTGAGTGCAGAGGAGTTTAAGGACAGTTCTTGACTTCTCCTACAGCATCCTTCACTGTGTTTAGGAAGGAATCAGAAACACTGGACAAACACTAAAGTCATGATGCATGAGTGGCCTACACCCCAGCATGCAAAACGCTGCCCAGATGGGAGGCTCCAGGGTGCAGGGCTCTGTCCTGGTCTTCACTGTGTGCCCAGGGCTTAGAAACCGCTGGTAGATGGGAGCAACTGCAGAGTTGACCACATGAATGAAGTTCATGATGGTGGTTCCAGTTTATTAAAAAGGGAAAGATTTGAATTGCAGGTCAGGAAATCTAAGGCCAACCCCTGTCTCTTGAATCACTGTACATCCTTGAGAACTACTTCAGTTCTCAATTTTCTTACCTATAAAGTAGAGCTTGTGATATCTGGTACTCATGAGGATGAGTAAGTCTACAAATATGAAGCTACTTTGAATAAAAGATGAAAATGGAGCATGTTACTTACACCCTTTTACATGCACAGGGCTATGATATAAATTCCTCACTTCGACTATGTTATTGATTTGGTTTAATTAGGGTAATATTGCTGAAACAATGAAGTCTGAATTTAGACTGTTTTAAGAAAAAACTGTTTAAAATTTCATTGAGTAAGAAAGTAGTCCCAAAGTGCTGGGCTGGGTAGGCATCTACCTGAAGTGTCACTGGCTGAGCAGGTCCCCTCTGGTTGCAGTACATTGTTTTAGTGCAAATGGGTATTCCTGAATTTCTGAAGGGAGACTTGACCAGGTAGTGTCCTTGTTATTCCTTCAAGGGTTTATTAACTGCTTGTGTATGTACTAGCAAATGCTGCCATTTCTGAAGTCCTGGGGGCTGGGCATGTGAGATTTTGAGCAGTGCACACGGAGACTGCAGGACATGAGGTACTCTAATCATTGCTAGCAGCTTTGTGCCCCCGGAGCCCAGGCCGTGCCTGGCAGCACTCTGCCTGCGATGTCACCTTCCTTGCCCCTGTGGAGTCCACCAGCTGCCTTCCTGGGAGAGGCGCACGACGTAGTGCAAGGGCCGCAGGCTCTGAGCAAGGGCTGCGGACTCCGAATTCTGCTTCAGCTACTTTAACATGTTGTGAGCCTGGCTGAGTTTCCTCTGAGTTGTGAACATTGATGAGATACAGTGTGTGCACATGTATGCACAGGCACATGTGTACACGCACACGCACACATGAGTATTCAGCACAATTCCCACCACATAGAAAGCCCATGACAGGCCTTGTGAGCTGCCATTTTGGTTTTATTGCTCATTGCCAGTTCTTCCTGTCTGGACTATTGGGCTGCTGCAAAGAGATCAGCTTAGTGGCAGAGTCAAGTGTGCCTCTCTGCTTCCCAGCCTGTGCTGTGCCCGGGGTGTGAGTGCCTGGGAGCCGGGCTTAGTGGAGGGCAGTGCGTGCTGCCCGAGCGCAGGGCCTTCCCCTTCGCTGCTGCATCCCCTCCAAGGGCTGCAGTCGCTGGGCAAGACGGGACGCTGGTGCCACGGCTCCCTGTGATGCTGGCTGGTGAGGGTCCCTTCTCACGGACTCGAGGCCACGCTGTGAAGGACTGGCTTGTCTCACTCCAGTCGCGCTGTCCCCTCACCCTGACAGTGAATTCCTCCACTGTGTACCATGACTCAGCCAGAAGGGCCCAGAAGCTGCCCTGTCAGCTGTGCGTGTGCTCCAGACAGCTCTGAAGAATGAAGCCACTGATGGACGGAGGACACTGTTTGTGGCTTGGTGGCCAGCAGGAGAGCGCCATGGGCCAGGAGGTGTCTGGGGCTCCTCTGCTCACACTGCCTCCTGGGCAGCCCCCAGCATCGTCCACGGGCTCCCTGTGGTCAGATGCTCTTAAGAAACCAAGCAACAAAACAAGGGTGCAGGTGGCCTTGCAGAGAGACGCGCAGTCCCTGGGCTGTCCCAGTGAAGACGCACGCGCCTCACCCCTGGGGTCAGAGTACCGCGCATCCCGTCTTCCCCAGCTGCCTTCCTGTCCATGTTCCCGGGCGCCCTCCACAGAACACCAGGCTCGCCCAGCCTCTGTCCTTCGGGGAGACTGGTGACCCACTGTGAGCGAGCCCTGCCTGCCTGCAGGACGGGTCGGAGCCCAGTTGTGCTGAGTCCACCCGGGTCCAAACTCCAACAGAGAGCTGTACTGATTCCTTCCCTGCTGCACGGGACCCAGCCTCAGCAGAACCTTACTCTGCAGCCCCAGCACCTCCCACAGCACCCTGGGGGCTCCCAGCTCCTGGTCACTCACTGGGAGCTCTGAACGGGGAGGTCGTCGCCTGCTCCTGCTGAGGAGGCACCGGGCACTGAGCCGAACTCACCCTGAGAGTAAGTGGTCCCCGTCCCACTGACGCTGAACCTGTTGAGGTGCAGTCTGTGCGTGACCACGTTCTTCTGGGGCTGGAACAGCACGATGTGCACCTTGGGAGCAAACAAACAGCCCAGGACCACGAAGCCGCTCAGGCTCACGGAGATGCACATGGTTGTTGTCTGCACCTACAAGAGAAGATGGCCCAGTAAATGTCCCACGAAAAGTCAGTCAGCTAACGGGAGTGCTGGCAGGAGAGCGAAGAGAGAAACCTGGTCAGTTCTGGTTCTGAGCTCAGTGGACCAAGGCAACAGCGGAATGATGTTGGGATGGCTGTTTCAGATTTCTGAGGGCGCTCGCTTGGGTGGGTTGTCCCTGACAGCTTGCCCAGCAGTCACGTGGGTTTTCTTGCATTTGTATAAAGACATTCATGCAGAACCACATCAGAGTCAGAGTGGTAAATGGCAAAACATAGATATTCCGCAGCCAAGTGGCCAGTTGCTGATGGTTTCAGTTAATGAGTTTAGCTTGCTTTCAGCTCACCGTGCATGAACAAACCTGGGCTTTCATCACTTTCCATCTCCTTCCTGCCGGGCGCCCCACCTGTTGGCTACCGGCTTCCCTGTCAGTACTGCCGGCACCAGGAACTGCTTTGGTGTGGCACTGCTCTATGGCACACTTCGCCAGCTCTCTGAAACCCTGCGGTATCAGTCTGACTGTCACTGTGGGTTCTCTGGCTCCTGTGCTGCATTCTCGATGGTCTTCTCCCTCTTCTCTGCCCTCGACAGGAAGTACCCTTCGAGCTGAGGTCTGTACCTCTTGCTTTTTCGGCTCTCACTCCCATCTTCTCTGACTCTACCCTCTGCCTGGCTTCAGCTGCCAGCGATTTACTGGAAAATTCCACAGTAGACCCCATGCTCTGTCACCTTCAGTACTGCAAAATGGATCATGAACCATCCCATCAGTTCTGTTAACGTTTCCCATGGGGACGCCGGGCTTTCTAGAGTAAATGCGAGTCCAATAGCATAGTGCTACTGCGGGTCCCTGGCCATCCTTTCTAATCAAAGAAAGCCAAAGTCTGAACAAACATTAATTGATGAAGCCACATCACTTCCAGAGGCTTCACACTATTTTTGATAAAAATAAATCCACTCAGGGGCCGGGGATTTAGCTCAGTGGTTCCGCCGCCTGCCTTGCAAGCGGAAGGACCCAAGTTTGATCCCCTTACCAATCAATCAATCTGCTCTATACTTTCAGGGTAATTATTCAGATCCTAGTTTTATTTTATTTTATATATTTTTTGGTACCGGGGATGGGATCAAACTCGGGACCTTGCACTTGCTAGGCAGGTGGTAGAACCACTGAGCTAAATCCCTGGCCCCTCATTTTATTTGAAATGCTGAAAGCAGAACCTCTCGCTGTTGTTCTAAAGTTCTGTTTTCCTTATGTGTTCCACCGCCCTCGAGCTTTGGGTCCCCAACAATGAGGGGCCCCTTCTTCTTTGGCCAATGACTGAGTAAACGGACCACTCACTACCTGGCTCTGGGATATGACTGCTTTGGCCAGTCTGGTGGAATCTGTATTTTACACAGGCGTGTGACAGGATGGCAGGACTCTGCTCTTCCTGCCTCAGTTTCCACTGTGGAGCCAAGATGAGTGGCACCACTCAGCAGGGCAAGACAAATCCAGCTGTGCGAATTCTCAAGGAGCCCTTGTCTAAAGCAATTCTGGACGTCGTCAATGCCTCTCGCACTGAGGGCCGGGAGAGCAGCCTCCGTGTGGCCATTCCCAGAGAGTCGGGGAAGCTCCAGGACAGGGCGCCTGGGGCAGGCCTGGCTCTGCCCGGAAACCTAGCTGCTGAGGAAAAGCTGGTGCTTTGCTGGCGCCACACCACTGCGTGGAGTCCCCCGAGAACTTGTGACAGTGAAGGCCAAGCTCAGCTGCCAGGGCTGGTCCATGGGCAGGTGTGGGCCACAGTGGGGAGCGGGGGGCTCTCGCGGAGGGGCTGCAGGAGGGCTGCAGATGCCTCGGGGCTGAGAAAGGAGCCACACGTGACAACTCAGCCTGGAGAAAACCAGCCCATCACCGTGGGAGCTGCAGGAGGCTGAGAGCAGAGGGGACCCTTGAAGGTCACACTCGAGCCTCTGCACTCATCCGCTCACACAATGGGTCGGAGAGCATCCGGCCGCCCTGCCCTGCTCCATTCCGGTCACTCCTCCAGCAGGGCCGAGGGGGACACCGACAGGTGGTGGGAAGCTGAAGTGATGCTGCATTTTGATCCAGCCTGGGCTCCACAGTTACCGGTGCTCCTGTCAGGAGCTTGGCCCCTGTGCAGACCCGGAAGCAGTCCCCTGCTGCCGTCCTGTTCCTGCAGGGAGCCACTGGCTGAACACTGTGGCCTCTGTGCACCGGCCATCCCCAGCCCTGTGTGCACCTCCCTCCGGCCCCAGCAACACCTGCCGTCCTTCGTCCTCGTGGCTGCCTGCACACGTACTTCCCCGCCTGGCACCGGGGTGCGGTGATCCCCTCCGCCCCACACCTCCGTTCGCCCCATTACCTCAACACCTGCCACCCTGATTCCAGCCGAACACTGAGCACTGCCGGGAGAGCAGCCTCCCCATGGCCATTCCCAGCCTCTGTGCTTCCAGATTCGCCATTCAACGGCCCCTCCACCTCTTCTTCTGGGCCCATGAAAGGTGTTGATACAGAGCAAAGCTCGACCTCTTTCCACAAATGTCCCCCTATTTGAGTAAGTGACATCCGATGACGTCCAGATCCCGGGCATGCTCATGGCTGTGCCGTTGCCCTTCCCCACACGTCCACCAGGCGGCGGGGTCTGCTGGGGCTGATTCCCCGTGGGTCTCGGCAGAGGCTCCGCTGTTCTGTGCTTCCTTTTCCAGGACAAGGACAGCAGAAGGCTTCAGAGGAGACAATGCCTCTCCCCCGCGAAGGCCAGCACGCCCTCCTGTGGGCAGAGGAGCTTGGGCTCGGCTCCTCCGATTGCTGTGAGTCACAAAGTCCTGCCTGTCAGCGTCAGGAAAACTGGGCAGGCTAATTTGTCACCTCCCAAGGGAAGTCTCAGACACGACGGTCGACAGATCTGTGGGATGCCAGCTCAGACACAGCCTTATAAAGGGAGGCCCTGGGCCCCGGGGCCATAATGGGTGAGGAAAATCTTTGGGTTGGCAGCTTGCTGAAGCTTGCTGCTGTCCACGAGGAGAGTCCGGTCCGGGGAGGGTTCTACCCGGGCTGCAGGAACAGCTCCAGGCCACCCCACGGCCTCCTCTGGAGGTGCAGTGTGGGGGTCCCGCCTCAACAGGACTCAGGTCCACCTGAGCCTCCCGAGCAGTACAGAAAGTCCTGCTCTCGGGGTCTGCGGGGTGCAGGAGTCCAGACCGCGTGGGCAGGAAGAAGGCCCCCCCGCCCCCCGGCTTCTCTGCTGCCGTCTGTTCTGCCGACTTCCATCACCCAAGATGGCAGCGGGCCCGAGTTTCCACAGGGAGCCTGACTCCAACAGGGGAGCTCTGGTCCTTCCGGGAGACGGACACTGGCAGTGACCTGGGAAGCGACGTTAGGATGTGGGCTCCTTAGGATGTGGGCTCGGACTCACCTGGCTGGGTTTAGGACGCCCACCGCGGTGCTGACCTCGGTGCTGACCTCGGTGCTGACCGCGGTGCGGTGCTGTCAGAGGGAAACTCTCCAAGAAGCTTTGGTTCTGGTGCAACAGGAGAAGTCCTGCATAATTTCGCAAAGATCCTTTGAATTTTGGGTTCTTACCCAGGTCCTTGCTCTGTCTTGAATGCTTGTCCTGGCTTCAATTAGTCCTAGTTCAACCCTTTCAAATGCATCCTTCATGCTAAGATAGGTAATTCCTAGTAGTATCAAAGGGATGGATTTGAATAAAAGATAAACTTCTATGGTTTCCTAGCAGTGCCGCTTGGGAAATTAGTTATTCCCTAAATCTGCTATTCATCCCCTGGGTGGATAAAAACTTGCTTTCTAGGGTTTTAATGAGGATAAGTGCACTCATGCACGAAGAGCACGCAGCACAGCAAGGTGGTCAGGAAGGGCTTGTCTGTTCCCTCCCCTTTTATCTTTCGCCGTGTTACTTTTTGCCTAAGTAACCAAACAATCAAAAGAAAAAGAATACATACATACATGATGTCCCAAGACTGAGTGAATTCCTCTGCTGGCAATCGGGTCAAGCCACCACTTTCCATTAGTTTCCACTGACCCCACCCCCAGTCCACTTTCCTCTTGGGTGAGGGCAGCCTGACTGCCTTCCGGTGGTCACTGCTCTTCTAGCGCAGGAGCACGCTCTAGATCCTCTAGCGAGCTTACTTGTTCCTTCCCACCAAGGAAGAGACCAAAATCCTGTGTCTTCAAGAAGTATTCCTGGGAAGACCGAGCTCTTACCATTCAACCTCTTCTGTGAAGCCTACGAACAGTGAGCATTTCACCAGTTTAATTACCAATGACTCTGGGTTAATCTCAAATTCTTTCACATTGGATATTCTCCCCCAAGCTGGGATAGAAACCTACAGAAGACTGGAGTAGTGTTGTGTATTTATTTGTAACTCACCACCAGTGGCCCAAGTACTGAGACGTAAGCCTTTCTGACTGATGCTCAAACTCTTTCCAGTGCCCCTTGGAGTGGTGGGTTCTTCCCTAATGCTGCATTTCTCTTCGAACCCTGGTTTCTCTCTGGGAAATGTTCAATCTATCTTGTTCTAGATTTCTAGAGTGAAGGTTTCACATGCTGATGTTTACAGGGTGCTGGGAGGTTCGCTGTGCAGGGAGGTGAGTACAAGAAAGACGGACAGGAGGTGGTGTGGTCGGGGGTGTGCTCCAGCCCTGTTGATTCTCAAATGTAGGACATTGGGCTCACATGTTCTGTTTTATTCTGTTAAGAGAAGCCAGGAGTCTAAATTTTTTTGTAAAATTTTTCAATTTTCTAACTTTGACAAATATTTCAAAATAGTATGAGACAAACTAAACCTATCTGCTGAGTTTGTCAGGGTAGCAATTTCAACCTGGGCTGGAATCAGTCACCTGAGGGCTCTGCCTTCTGCCTCTGGGTGAAGGAGAATGAGGATGTGTCATGTACAGCTCCCCACAGGGATGGGGTCACTGTGTCCTGCAAACATGCACTAGGAAAAATTTCAAAAGTCATTTTAGTGATTTAGAAATAAATGCTAATACATTAATAAAATTAAACTCTTACAATGTCTATTCTTAGTAGTATTTTCTATTTTTTTAAATGAGCTCTTTTGAGAATCAATGGTTTCAAACAGTATGTCCAGGGCAAAATCATTGCCATTATAACTGTTTTCCCGTCCCATTGCTTCCAATCATGCCCACTAAGGGTGGATCCCTGAGAACTTAAAAATATCCGAGCAGCTCTGTGGGAGTGGATGTGTGCGTGAAGGCCAGAGAGGGTCCTTACGACCCACGAGGAGCTGTCTCCTTCAACTTTTCCAGGGCTAGGAGGTCAAACTCCCCGTGGCTCATGTGTTTCACCCTCGATTCTGCTGGCCCGAGCTGATGTTTCCTTAAAGATATGCACACTTTTTATAGGGAATGTTGAGATGTCTGCACATTACCCCGACACTGAACCCAGGTTTGTTTTCATGATTTATCCCTTAGAGAAGCCCATAGGCCTCAGTTCCATGGTTGTGATGAAATAAACTAGACGTACTGAGCATGGATCCCATGCTTCAAATAGATTTTTAAAAATTTTAAAAATACTTGGCCCTAGAAAATAATAATGAATGATAATAAAATAAAAATGATTTTAACCAACAAAAACTGTATATCATATCTAACATGATGTTTTGTAGAATGGCTCGGTGGTGGAGCTAACTGGCACTGTACGGCCTCACACATGGCCCAGTTTTTGTGCTGAGAGCACCTAACAGCTGCTTAGTGGCTAACTGTGGCACCAGCACTCCGCAGCCACCTGGAACTTTTCCCTCCCCATCTAACCGAAACCTTACAGCGGTTGCATCCTCTTGTAGGGAGCAGTTTGCTAGATTTTGGGAACATAGGGCTTGCTGGTAAACAGAAGATCAGGGGCTTACGGCAGTGCATGGGGCAGGCAGTTCATTCTGTGAAATCATGGGGTGGCCAGAGGCTGTGCACCTCCGGAGAATTTTGATCATGGTGACTTCAGAATACAGAGAACGAAAACCAAATGCCTGGGGAGAAAACAGTGTTTTACGCACTCATCGTCAGACACTGAAATCAGAATTGTTAATGTAAAAATAACTGGTGAATGGTTTCAACGATTTGGGAAACTGTGATGGAAGGATTGAATTTCTTTCAGAAGAGATGGCAAGTATATGGAAATCCAGGAATTTAACTGTTACTAAGGGTCTAGGAATAATGATTTAATTAGGTTTCTTGTAAATGTTCCGTAAGGTTTTTAACTAGCCCAAAGGCTTTCTCTCCCTCTCCTCTCCCTTCTACACACACACGCACACACACACACACACACAGCACATTTGCATATATGAGTAAAGTTTTAGAAAAGGCATAGCATTGTACTGTAATCAGTTTCAGAAAAGTAATAGAGCATGAATGAAATTTTTAGATCTTTCAACTGATCCTGGCTTAATGTTGCAAGTGTATTTTAATTTACAGATTGATCTATGGAAGCCAAGCCCTACTGTGTCTAATTTGAAATATTCTCTTTAGGTGCTTAGTGATCATGTCTTATTCTTTTGCCAGTCACTTTTAAATTTAGTTCTATTTATATGCATATATATTACATTTTCTTTCCCACTGGACCATAAATTGCTTGAACAGCTATTACATTTACATTTATCTTTGTTGCTGTGCCTAGCACAGTGGTCTGAACAAAGCAGGTGCTGATTAAATGCTTCTAACATATACTGAGTTAATTTTTACACATTATGTCAAGGCTCGTCATGGTATTCGTAATTACTCAGCTCATTCCTGAGATGAAAGAAAAGGAGTCTAGCTTAAATCCTACACAACACAACACTGACAGGATAAAAGATGCAGAACAGGGAACGATGAAACCAGTCAGGACAGAGGAAACAGGAGCCCAGCCCAGACTTACTCTGTAGTCACTGGACGTCACGTAGAAGATAGGCAGGAAGGCCAACCAGATGATGCAGGTGGTGTACATGGTGAAGCCTATGAACTTGGCTTCGTTGAAGTTCTCAGGGCACTTCCTCGTCTTGAAGGCGTACACTGTGCACAGGATCACCAGGACCACATCGTAGGCCAGCGAGATCAGCATGCTGGAGTCACGAACGTTGCACTTCAGGATGACTGTCTCACGCTTCTCGGGGAGGGTGTACCTCCTGGTGCCTGGGGCCTCGAGCACCAGCCACACGGACACCACCACGACCTGCACCAGAACGAGACCCAGGCAGATGAAGACCTGAGAGCTGGGGCTGATGAATTTTGGCCTCTGTGCGCCATTCTTGACCCCATTGAAGATGCGGGCGATGCAGTTTGTCTTGGTCAGCAGGGCTGAGTAACAGATGGCGAAGGAGGTCCCCAGCCCCAGCCGGCGCAGGGTGCAGATAACAGGCGACGGCTTGGCGATGAAGAAGAATGTCATGCAGTAGGACAGGCCGACCCCAAACAGCAGGATGTAGCACAGCTCCCGGCCCGAGGCCTTGACCAAGGGCGTGGTGTTGTGCTTGATAAACACGGCTAAGACCACGCAGGTGCACAGGAAGCCCAGGCAGGCGATGGTGACAGGGCCTATGGCCCAGGCATCTTCCCACTTGATGTAGTCCTCAGGAAGGTCAAAGCATCCCGACAGGTCGGCCGAGGGCCAGCGCCCGGGCCCGCAGTCCATGCAGGTGAACTCGTCGGCCAGGTACTCGTAGGCCTCACAGGGGATGCAGATCCAGCAGCACACGTCGCCGGGCTGCATGCTCTTCATTTCATTGGGTGCACAGGGGTCACTGCACTGGGATGTGGGGACTGAGCTCTGGGCCCAGTGGATGGAGTCAACATCCAGGGACAAGGTCTCTGCCCAGTGGCCCACCTTCAGGTAGGAGTATTTTCCACCCATGTCCTGGAAATTGAACACGTTGTATCGCCCCATTCCATCTCCATAAGTGTCAAACTTGACGATGCTGTCTTCATCTTTATTTGGGACGAATGGAGCTGTGATATGTAGGGTGAAAGGGGGGAAAAAGAACACTTGCTTAGGTGTCTTAAGTGCGATCGGTCAGTTACTCTGTGACATACACTTAGCAAGACTGCAGTAATGGAGGGTGAAGTTCCAAGGCCGACGTAATTCATCAGCTACCACTGAAAGTACACACCAGTGCTCCAGAGTACTTACGCACCCACGGGCTCCCTCACTCGATACTACAGAGCGTGTGAGGGATGGTACAGCAGCTTTCCTGGAAGGCTGCAGCCGTGTGTGCACATGGCTTCTCCTGAAAGAGCCCACGTAGAAGTGGCTCAACTTGGGGGTCGTTAAATGTTTATTTATGTACAGCCATCAACATGTTTCCCATTTTATTTTCATGAAAATACAGTTAAGACGTTTGTTCATTATAATGTATCATGTACTTCCTTTAAATAGTTCAGAAGATTCATAAATTTAAAAACTGAAAATCTTTCATAACCCTTGGCCCCTGAGTTTGGATGTTTGCAGTATATTCATTCTGACTGCACATGCCCTGGTGTCTATACCTCACACCCTCCTGTCTATGCCGCCGACCCTACCCTACATAGCATCTGGGTGAGTCTGGACCCAAAGGCCCTGGGAAAGTGGCCTGCCTCGGCCTGTGCCTGTCCTGGGCCCAGGGTCCCCGAGAGCAGCGGGCCTCAGCCAGTGCAGCTCCCAGGTCCCTGGCACCGTCTCCTCCCACCCCCGTCACCTTTTCATGCTGTAAGTTTCTCCAGCACAGTTTACTCTTCTTACACGCAGCTTGCATTTATTAGGAAGACTGCGTTTAACCCAGTGCCCCAGAGAGAGCCGTGAGCTCAGGCAGCTGTGCCCCTCGAGTGCCAGGCCGCCCTCCGGGTCTGGGGCCACTCTCAGGCTCTGAGCCCTTCTTCCGTGCTGTCCTCAGTTCCCAAGTGGCATCCTGCCCAGTGCGTGCTCCGCACACCTGCTCTGTGACGCACACTCACTGCCTCACGTCACCAGCCCGTGGCTGTTCCCCATGGCACAGGCACACACGCCCTCAGGGGGCCTCGCCACTGCAGCTTCCAGCAAGGAGGGCAAGAGACTCACAGGGAGGCCCAGAGCTGCAGTTTGCATGTGATAAGTGAGGAAGGAGACTTAGTACACGATGCCAGACAACGCTTCAGTCAGCAGGAAAACATGAATCGTCACTCCTAACTCATGCCCAAACGGATTCTGAAAGGGTCTCAGTCTCATACGTGAAAAATAAAATCATAAAGCTTCTGGAAATAAATTTAAAAGGGCCAATTAACACTGATGTGGGAGAAGTACTTTGTAACCACTACTGAAAATACAGAAACTGGTCTAACACAAACTGTATGAAATTAAAAAGAATTCCAAGGAACAACCTCCTAAGTAGCACAGGAGCACAAACAACCGCCAGTACTGCCAACTACTGCGGAAACTGCGGACAAGGGCACATTTCTAATTCAGACAGGATTCCAGGGGCCCGACTGGAAAATTATCAAAAGATAGGAACAGGCCTTTCTCCAAAAAGGAAAAGTCAAGTGGTTCTTCAACACATGAGAATATGCCTGACGTTGGTCAAAATATAGAGAAACGCAAACTTTCAGAGGCAGAGTAAGTCTTCCGAAGACGTCCGTGCCCTGTCTCCGAGAAGGCAGGCACGCTGTGGTAGCAGAGGGCCGAGGCTGCAGACGGAATCAGCTGCCAGTTGTCTCAGCCCAGCGCAGCTCACAGGGCCACCACCCTGGGAGAGGGCAGCGGAGCGCAGGTCCAAGCGAGGCTGGGGGACGCCCCTCAGTGGCCCTGGCTCTGAGCGCGGTGGGCACGGATGCAGCAGAAGCAAGAACACGCCGTCCCCGTCCCCGGCCAGGAGAGACAAGCAGCGTGAAGCTCCGCAGCCGTCCCAGGCCCCGCCCACGGCACGGTGAGGTCCGCTCAGCCACGCGGGCGCCTCCAACCCTCAGGGCTCCCCCCGCACCCCACCGTGCGCCGCCTACCTTCTGGCTTTTCTGCTACCTGGTCCCACACTACAGAGGCACCGGAGATTGTAAAGACCCTTGTCCTGAGGGCCACAAGATAGAGCAGAAGTTAATAACAGAAAGAGGGCTTCTCAGGCTCCTTGATGAAAACTGAAGCTCAGCAGAAAAGTGAAGCGAACCTCTACAATAAAGGCACATCCGACCACTGTATTTGGTCTGCTGCTGGCGTGCTGAGACTCATTGACTCTTATATGCACAGGGATTCTTATGTTGCCTACTGTGACAGCAGAGACATGCCCTGAAGGAGGCCCATAATTTCTAGTGCTACTTGCAAAAAAGAAAAAAAAAATTTTATTTTTAATTCTTAAGTTTTACTTTTTTTCTACCCTTCAAAGTTTTACTTTTCTTTCTTTTATCTTCTCTCTCTCTCTCTCTCTCTCTCTCTCTCATTCTCTCGCTGTCCCACATTGCCCCTCATCTCCCCATTTGTTCCTTTCTGCACTGAATTCGGAT